ATCGATCTCAGTATCGATCTCATTATCGATCTCACTATCGATCTCACTCAACGGGACACCACGGGACACCACGGGACACCACGGGACACCGCGGGACACCGCGAGCCACCGCCGGACGGGCGGGCGGAGGAAGATCATTTGTCTTGACTTCGCCCTAGCAACGGCGGACACCACAGGACACCACGGGACACCACGGGACACCGAGGGCCACCGCCGGACGGACGGACGGATGAGAAACATCTGTCTTGATTTCGCCCTATCAACGGCGCGGCGGGTTCATTCCTTTCGCGCGCCCACGCAGCTTCGCCTCGCGCGCCCGCACGACACGAACGAAACGAAACGATCTCCCGGTTGGGGGTCTCCGTTCCACTACCATCTCACCCCCCAACCTCCGATGGTATGTAATTGGACGAAAACCCATAGCCACCGCAACCAACCAATGCACAAGGCGCCAACGAAACGCCCACAGGCGCCCATCAGGCGAAACCCGAGTTCCCGTCAAATCGCTTTTGAATAAAAGTACAAACCCGCACGCGCAAGCAATGTCTGGGGAAACATCAGAAAATGATGAGAAATATGACTGAGATAATGCGGACGGGGAAAGGGTGAAAGAAACGGAAATGGAGAAGGATCAGGGACATGACGAACAGCAGGATGTGGACCAAGCTTCAGGTAGGACGATGACGAATAGTGGGGCAACGAGGAGGAAAACAATACATCTGGCATTGTGCAACGCTCTACGCGTTGTTCTACCTCTCATCCACCTGAGAGCCACGGGCAGCACGCGCGGCAGCAAACCGAGCAGGGGGGCAAGGACGCACGTAGATTCAGGAATGTTCCACTATTCCTTCTCAGCCCCGGGGGGACCCGAGAAAGGGGGGCGGGCCGCCACAGTGCGGAAAAGAAGGACCCTTTGGCGACGATCGAAATGCGCTTCGAAAGACAGGCGCGAAGAGACAACGACACCAGATCATGTGCCGAAGACAGCCCAGCCCACCACTACTACATCCCAGGATGTAGCCCTCACCATCCAGGAAGAGGCGATCCATCCGCCTGTCGAGCTCCCAAACTTCTAGGGCGTCAGGCGGGCCCCATCCTCCCCCAACAATTTTCTCTTCCTTCAGCGACACCGAACTTGAAAAATAGCAGGCACATCGTGCAGCGAACAGCGCTTCAGAAGCCGGAGTAGTGGGGCCGACGCATATGGGGCAGCGGAGGAAGGTGCAATGGTACTTGCAATGCTTCGCGTCTGGATGCAATCGCTTGTGGGCTGGATGCAACAGTTGCGCGTGTGTGCGTTCATTCAAGTTTCTAGGATGCAACAAGTGCTGCCCCATGCAAGAAGGCGAACCCCCACGCAACAAGTGCGCATCACTAAGCGCAGTAGCACACTATGAATGTGCTACGGTGAAGGCATTCGAGCAGGAACCATTGGATAAGGAATCCAGGGTCTGGAAGCTGGTAAAAGTCAACTCGTGGATTTGCCTTGAAAATCACCGCCGCCCTCATCAGATGAGGAATCCTCCAGGGTCTGAAGCCTCCTGAACACATTCCTTAACCAACGCCGCCAACGTATGGCACCTCTCCCCGCGGCCCCACTACACCGGAGGACCAGGAAAAGTCCGCGTGAGGCCTCCTGGGACCAATGCGCAGCGTTGCTGCACGGCCAGTCGCCGCAGTCGGATCGCCGATGGCCCAGTTGAGCAGGGGCAGACCATCCTGAACTGAGAAGTGTAGTATCCCAGCGACACCCTAATAGCAGCAAAGGTGAAGAGGCGGGTCGAGGAGTAGAAGGTCGACTAGTGAAAACGCGCATTCCAATGTAATCCTAAGGATCCCAAACAAAGATGCAGCCAGGACGGGATCGTGGCCGTCTGGACCAATAATGCAGCTGGCATTGAGGCCAGGGCGCGATTCCTGAATCCAGTGTGAGGAAGTCTCAAAAAGGAAACGGCTGCCGAACCCGGCGGTCTTGGGCTCCCCGTTCCTCCCACGGAGCTGTTCTGTTGTCCTCCTCTGTCCGCCCCCCAACGACATGCGATCAGGGAAGTGTGCCGGAAGCGTAAAAAGACGAATGCTCGTAGAGCATGAAAACAACGTATTCAAGCAGGCCTGCCTGAGCCAGACATGTCGGAGAGAGCACAGCTCACACCCCAGCAACCTTGTCGTGACTTCGTCTGGGGTGGGCCTACAAGCCGCCCGGGGCGCTTCGTCACTGCTTGGCCGAGGCAGTGGAAAGCCACCGAGGGGCACCGCCCGCAGGGCTGGCGCCGTGCAGACCCCCATCTGTCGCCGCCATCACAAAGGGAAATGGCCACAGGAGGGCGCCTGCAGGCTCGATCAAGTTGTCCTGGGAGAGCCCCAACCTGGATCAAACGAGCCTTCAAGAGGCCCCGAGATGTCCATTTAGTCAGACGATTCGGGGGCTACTTGGGCAAATTCATTGAATTGACCTGTTTCAGTGGTTCCCCCCTCTTTGTTTCCTCAATGCTCCTTCGCAGGAACCGTTTCTGGGTGGGCTGTTGGGGATACGCCAGCTGCACGAAGTGGGGTCTAAGATGCTGCTCTCAGATCGGTGGTTGTATCCGCCGCGGCTTCTCTGGCAGCCGATGAAAGCATATTACCACCACCGCTCGTGCTACACAACAATGCTTTGAATGCTGACACCGGTTGCTGAGTTGCGCTTCGCCAAGAAAAACGCCTCCGACGTAAAAGCACGGACGATCTGGTGGTGACGTTACCCGACCATTCTTTTGAATCGCTACTTTGCTGAGTGCGGGAGGAGAGCCTAGCTGACCAGGGTGCCCTGCTCAGATCTCCTGCCTCGAGCAGGTCGGAGGTCGCACCTTCCTCGGCAAGCTTCGCCGCCCATCTTGCTCCCGAAGCACCTGAAGAGCCCAGGTCAAGAGCTGGCGCGAACTTTCGGAGCGATGGGAGCAGTGACGGCATTGCGAAAAGAAGCAAACAAGTTGAAGCAAGACGCCCAGCTACGAATTGCGGTAAGATAGGAAAAGAAGACGTCGGACTGTCCTTTCCCAGAGGGGTCTGCACAAATAGAGGAGGCGGTGACAGCACCGAGGCAGCGATCTCACAGAGTGACTCAGGCCTCCCACTGAGAGGCGGATCGAAAAGCACAACAAGGACACATGGTGGCCGCCAGAGTGTCTGCGAATGTGTGTCTGCACCACGCCCCGGCTTCGCTAAGACCCGGCGGCCGCCAACGGGCACTCCCCTCGCTGCTCAAGTCAAATCCACCGCTATCGCTGGGAGGCATCAGCCGTCGATCTTCCCCTGACAGGGCGGCGCCCCAAACAGAGGTGACTCTAACTTATGTGAAGCCTGGCACAGGTCCAGGGCGTACCACAGTCCACACGACAGAGTCGTAGCCATGCCCAGGCAGGTAAGGGGCGACTGCAAATTATCGCCGAAGAAGCAAACGCCCATGACCACTACCAGAACATTCGCAACGTTCGCAAAGATGATGACGGACGTGGCAGATGTCAACCGGAGCAAGCCCAAGCCAGCCACGTGGCAGCCAGTGAACGAGAACAGAGATAGGGCCAGCATTATGGCGATGGAAGGGTCTGAGACCCACGCTCTCCAGGTGGCCAAGAAAGTATCCAGGCCGCTCGTTTCGATAATGACAGAAGACATCGAAGACGCAGCGAAGAGAACTACGCCATCATAACACGCCAGCAGTGCCAAGGGGGCTTGCATGCACTCTGCCAGGTGCCAGCGCTGGAAGAGCCTCAATGGCACCTTCGTTGCAACCATGCCCCACGCCGATGCCAGTCCCGCAGCGGTGAAGGCAGGATACTGCAGGCCGAACAGCATGGCGCCCAGAACCATGCCAAGCATAGCCACCTTGGAGTTGAACGTGGCGTGAGTTTTGATGTCTGTGGGCAGGAAGGTTAATTCCGAAATGAAAACGGCCACTGGAATCACGCTGCTGAATACCGTTCGCTCGGACAGGGAACAATACATGGACACTAAGTGGTTGGCAAGCGAGTACATGCAAAACAGAACTGCTACAGGGGTCCACCTCCACAGCGCTCCAATAATGTCGTGCGCGACGCAAGGGCGGCGCAGCTGACTAACAATCGACCATATGCCAGCGAACACAGACATGGACAGAGCTTGAATGGCCGTGATGGACATGGGCGCGCCCATGAGCACAGACAGGGACTGATTTACCAAATCCGTGCCAATGAGCATCGTGAAATACGTGAGCGCGCAAAGAACACCGTGAAACCTGTCCTGAACTCCGTAACTCAACGCTGCCACCCAGACCACCTTGGCATGAGGGAAGAGGGTCCTGGTGGAAACGGGTCCTGGACCCGGGGCCGTCCCCAGCACAGGCTTTCCATCCCGAGCCGCCCCTGGGGCGCGGCAAGGGTCCTGGGAGCATGAAAACTGAACCCAAAAAACACCAGGACCCGACTCCTCGAGGATCCCTCCCTTCATTGTGTGAGGGGGGGACGTTAGGGGGGGAAGGCTCAGAGGGGAAACATCCAGCTGGAATCGGCGATATATCGCCGACAGATCGGCGATTGGCCCCCGAAAGCGAATCCGCAAGTTCCTGGGTGGGCTGGGTTGTCAGGACCCTCTCAGTGACGAATGGGCGATTGGGAGTCGATGCATTCCCCCCTGAGCATCCCCCCCACTGAAATTGCTCCTGACTTTCGGGTCCTCTCCGGCGGCCATCGGGACAATCCGGGCACCCCTAAACGCCTCTCGACGAAGCGCAGCCACTAGAGAGCACCCCGAGGCTAGAAAACAGCAGAGAAACTACAAAAACGCAAGAAAACCTCAAACCTCGAAAACCTCGAGCCACCGCTAGCGGAACAAACATCATCGCGTACACGGTCGCGATCGCCGCGGGCTCCGCGATCTGCACGGTCACCGCCGTCTCGTTCGACGCCACGACGACGAATGGCTCGTGGGCGTCCGGCAGGTCGAGCTGCCGCCAGAGCACTGGCTCAGGCAGCGGGCGGCTGATGGGGTACACAAAAAAACTTCGCGGTCCCTCAGGTCCAAGGAGCCTTCAAGAAGCCACGTCAACCCATAGTGTAAGGATGCGCGGTGAGGATGCAAGGACCTTGGACGCCCATGCCGAGGCTCTTCGAGCGAGGCTGGCCATCGAAAGTTAAGGATAGACCGAAGATGACCGAAGATGCAAGGATGCAAGGATACCCTTTGGAAGTCGATCATGCTTACTATCAGGGTCGACTGTATCCTTCATGGCGTGCGTGGCCGCGAGAGCGTGCAGACGCTCAGATGCGAGACCGCGGAGGCAAAGAAGTCTGGCCACGGAGGGTACGGGGGACACTGAGGGGCCGAGACGCACAGTCGCATCAAAAACACCCAGACACAAGACCAGAGAGAAACAACATACAAAACACATGTGTGCGTCGACACGCAGCCTGCGTGCAAGTTTTCTCAACAATGCAGCTGCCCTTTCGCGAGACCCCAGAGCAGAAAGCGTGGGAAAGACTTCCACGCTCTAGCCGAAGGCCTGCGCGGGTCAAGGCGGAATGCGCTACAGCACTGCGCGAAGCGGCTCATCTTGTGAGGTCTCCGGCCGGCAGCCTCTGGCCGAGGGAGGAGGCGCTCTGGCCTCGCAGCCTCGTCCTGGATTGCGAATTCAACGGTGGAACGCCAGGAGACCTCAGACGCAGTCGGCTTCTAGCACCCCATGGTGGCAACATCGCTCCCCCGAGATCCTGTCGGGGTGGACGAACAGGGAGGTTAGCGAAGGAGGATATGCGAGTCAGCTGCACGCAGCTGGCCTTCAGGGCTCCTCTTGGCGCCGGAAGCAGCCATGCATCAAAGAACGCGTGTGGCGGCAGGACCGACACGGGCTCCGAAGACGCCCAAACACACAGCTCGGGATGAAGAGGTGGTCTCGGGAAAAGCCCTGGGGCCCAGGACCCGTCACCCTCAGGACCGCCTTCCTTCACGGCGACCTTCTGGATGAGGATCTAGTCGCACAGACGGGAGACTTTGACGCGGGGGTCAGGGAGGAGATGAGGGAGAAGACAGAAAGCCGACACCGGCACCAAAAAGGTTATCTGTTTCATAAGAATTGGACTTGCGATTTGGGCCAGCGCGAGCCCATCCTGGCCTTCGGAATCGCGGGGGAGGAAGGGAAAGGGAAACATCGCGCAGCGCGCAGGAGGGCGGGCAGGACACAAAAAAGTGCAGACGAGAGGCGAAGTTGGCGGGCGTTCATGGGAGAGGGGGGACCAAAGGGAAGGATGCGGCTTCCTCCATGACCCAAGCCTCCCACTCCACCGCCGCCGTCCTCCGCGCCTTCCCTCACCCGTTTGGCCCCGCTCCCTGCCTCCTCCCCCTCCTCCCGCCCGCCCCCTGCCCGCCCCTAGTCGCATCCCTGACACTCTGCAAGCCGGAGGCCGGCACCCGACGATTCCGACTCCACCGCCCACCCCCCGCGCCGGGAGGGGGCCATAATGGTTGCCCTGCGCGGCCAGGGCCCAAGTACAAGTCGAGGGGCTCCGCTCCATTCGCCGTTCCAGCAGGGGCCTTGGTGCTGGTGTCAGCTTTCCAGTGCTGCCGGGGACGAAAAGCTGGCACCGGCACCAAGACCCCACAGGAAAAGTTGGGGGTCCTTTCCCTGGGGGGGGCAAAGCGGCCCAGCGGAGCCCGCAAAACGTGAGGTAGCTCGCATTGCTCGCCGAATTCACAGGCCACGGGGGTCGCATGGTAAAAAAACACGCCCCATGGGGCCCCTGGCGACCCCGGGGCCTGTGGGGCTGCCATTCCGCGGGGCTCGCAGCGCCCAGACACCTGACGCGGCCCTGACGACTCAAGGGGCATATGGGGACCGCGCCGCTCGCCGGGCTCGCGCGGCGCATGGAGCCCACGCGCGCTGCGGCGCCCATGTGGCCAAGGAAACCTCTCTGGGACTTGGTTCGCGCGGCCCACGGGCCGCGCGCGGCTGACATTCATCGACGCGGGACACGTGAGCACGAAGACACGGGCGACGGCATTCAGCGAAGGCTCTAAATTATTCTTTCCCAGAGGGGATCTTGTTGTTGGTGTCGGGTTCTGGTGCCCCGAGGAGGGGAGGTGGAGGGGAGGTGGAGGGGAGGGGGAGGGGAGGGGGAGAGGCGGACATCCCCTTCTTCCCCAGTGAGACTGGAAAACCACAAAACAACATCTGCAGAACATGTCGGAGATCCGCTCCGATGTCTTGGGTCGTCATCTCCCTCTTCCTCCTCCTCCTCCTCCTCCTCCTCCTCCTTCTCCTCCTTCCTCTTCCTCCTCCTCCTCCTCCTCCTCCTCCTCCTCCTCCTCCTCCTCCTCCTCCTCCTCCTCCTCCTCCTCCTCCTCCTCCTCCATTCTTTTTCCTTACAAATAACTCCTGCCTGTCGCACCCCAAGGCCTGTCGAAAAGGCGGGGGCGGGCGTTTCGCCAAAGACTTTCTCAACATGCATGGCCCTAAAGCTAAGGAGTTGGCAACCGTTTCACATATTGAGAGCTGGTGGTTTTCAAAATGTGGCTCTCGCCTCAGCGCCGCTTACATTCGTTACAAACACTTGCACGGACTCCACGGATTGAGGACGGGTCATTCTCACATAAAAATGGCTTTCGCCTTAGCGCCGCGCACATTCGTTCCAAACATGTGCAACAGCTTCACGGAGTGAGGGCGGGTGGTTTTCAAACTGTGGCTCTCGCCTTAGCGCCGCGCACATTTGTTCCAAACATTTGCAAGAGCTTCACGGATTGAGGGCGGGCCGTTTTCAACATGTGACTCTCGCCTTAGCGCCGCGTGCAAGAGTTTTATGGATAGTAGGCGGTTTCTCTTGTCTTGAGAACTTGCAAGAATTTCACGGATTCTCGCACGCATCAGAAATTGTGTTTTGGAAGGCTCAGGACTTTGAGGAGGCAACACTTACGTTGATTCGCGGTGCTGAAGTCCAAGGAATGCTTTTCTGACGCGATTCAGGATCGCCAATACGCAACAGTCAGGCTGGCTCGTGGTGTTGGAGTCCGGAGAACGGTGTCATGGCACGCATCAGGGTCTTCAAACGGTTGTGCCCCAACGAGGCAGTTCCCTCTGTGCACATGAACCCTTGTAGGAGCCTATGAAGAGGGAGCTTGGAGGAAGGGTGTAATCCAGCATCGTTGATGCGTCTTGGGTAAACACTGGTCCTCCTCCTCCTCCTCCTCCTCGTCCTCCTCCCCCTCCTCTGGGCCACTTCTCTAGGTCCCTCCTCCTCCACCTCCTCCTCCGGGTCCTTCCTTCCGCTCCTCCACCTCCTCCTCCTCCTCTTCCTCTGGGCTCCTCCTCCTCCTCCTCCTTCTCCTCCGCCTTATGCCTTGTGCCTGGAGGCGAAAGGATCCGTCGGACGCCAACCTCCTCGTCCTCCAAGTGGAACCTTCTCATACTCCGTCGCATCCTCCTCCTTATTCTACCATAATCATCATCAGCATCATCATCATAATCACCACCACCACCATCATCATCATCATCAGCATCAACATCAGCATCAACATCAGCATCATCATCATAATCATCATCAGCAGCAGTATCATCATCACCATCATCATCTTCATCCTCATCATCGTCATCATCAGCATCAGCATCATCAGCAGTAGGCTCAAAATCATGAGCATCAAAAACCATCATCATCAGCACCCTTGTCAGCATCAGCATGAGCATCAGCATCATCATCAGCAGCAACCGCATCATCTTCATGACCGACATCATCATCAGCATCATCATCAGCATCATCGTCTTCATCATCAGCAGCAACATCATCATCACCATTGCCATCTGCATCAGCATCATCATCATCATAATCATCAGCATCATCATCCTCACCTTCGTCATCATCATCCTCGCCATCCTCGCCATCATCGTCATCACCATCACCATCACCATCACCATCACCATCACCATCATCATCATCATCATCATCATCATCATCACCACCATCATCACCATCACCATCACCATCATCATCATCATCATCATCATCATCATCATCATCATCATCATCATCATCATCATCATCATCATCATCATCATCATCATCATCATCATCATCGCCATCATCATCCTTACCCTCCCCCTCCCCCTCCTCTTCCCCCGCATCCTCCTCTGGCCCCCCCTCCTGCCCATCCGCCTCTTCATCCTTCACTTCCTCCTCTGGGCTCCTCCTCCACGTGCACCTCCTCTTCCTCCTCCTCCTCCACCCTGTGCCTCGTGCCTCGAGGCGAAAGGATCCGTCGGATGCCGTCCGCTCCCTGCTCCTCCCTCTCCTCATCGGCACAGGCATCATCAGCATCAGCATCATCAGCATGAACGTCAGCATGAGCCTCATCATCATCAACATCACCATCAGCATAGGCGACGACAACGACGACGACGACGACGACGATTCTGCGGAACCCGGCCCGCCTGGACACCACCTTGCGCGGCGCACGAGCTCCTGCCGCCCCGCTGGGCCGCGGACCGCCGCGCGCCGCCGAGCCCGCCTCTGCGGCACCGAGGTCGGGCGCGCCCGGCGCCGCCTCCTCGGGCACGGCCACCATGAGCAATCGGAGGCTGGGGGGCGAACTCGAAGTGCAACGGAAAGCTCCCCACTGGAAATCGGTTTCGGTTTCGGATTCGGTTCCGGGCTCGTGTCGCACGTGCGGGCGGAGCGAAGCTGCGTGGGCCGGCGAGAGCAATGACCCCGCCCCAAAAAACCGCCTCTCAGATCCGGTTGCGCACAGCGCCGCCTCCTCGGGCAGGGCCACCATGAGCAAAAAGCATATGACGGGCTCTGGCAACCATTGAATCAAAAAGGTTGCCATCTCTTGGGGGGGCGGAGTTTGTACGTCCACCGGCTTCCGCTGGCCTGGTTTGACTGCCGCCAGCTTCCGCCGAACTGCCGCCGCTTTCCACCGAGAAAGGATGACAACTTATTCGATCCTCGGAGGCGAAGGCCTTTCTGGAACGCCCCATGTTGGCCCAGAGCGCTTTGCCGAGCAGGGCAACTTCCAGGTTTTGGCAGAGTCCTGGAAGGCCAGACATGCCAAGTTGAAACTAGCTCATTCCTCGCATGATTCGGGCAAGACCACCATGAGCAGCGCAGGCGGTCCGATCGAGTTAATGCTCGACCCAGGACCAGGCGCGACTTTGTTGCCTTCAAGCATCACTGTTGGAACCCGAATGACATGCACGAAGTCTTCGCCGTGCTCGAGAAAATCGTTGTCCAATTTCACTTCGCGCAGATAGTCGCCCCGTCTCGCTGCAGGCCGTCCGCGCGATCGTCCAACCCCAGGACATGTTGCAGGTGGGTGCCAACGCGATGCTCTTACAGGCCAGATGTCAGCCATCGCGTCTGCTCGATGAGCCAACCTATGCTGCCGTCGTAGCAACTGGACGATCCAGTTTTCCATTGGATACGAAGTTAGAGCAGCATCCACGTGCAACCTCATCGTCCGCACTGCGTCGCCCCACGGCTCGTCTCCCATTCAAGTCGAACCAACAATGCGTCGAAACTTCCTCAATTCAAGCACATATAACGAGCTAAGTTGTGACCGTGTCATTGCGCAAGACGAAAGACCAAACAATATCGTTGAAGCGATTACTGCGTTGAAAAACTTGATCCGCGACTGCATGCTCAATTTCTTTTCCATCAAGGTGTCGCGCTGCTCATGGAAACTCGCCCATGCCGTTTGACCCTAGTGGCCAAACCCGAGGGAATTCCTCGAACGCAAGATGCCGCGCAGCTTCCTTCCCAAGCTTGCGCGGGCCACGTCGCCATGTAGGACGTCCGCGGTCTCGCCTCCAATGCCCGGCGAACCCGCGTCGACGTCGACAACCGCCGTGGGTGCTTTGGTCTTTCCAGCGTCCAGGCTGAGACCTACTTTCGCAAATTGCTCTTTGAGCGCCGTGGTCACTATGATGAAATCGGCGCGTGATGGCGCGAATGCCACGACATCGCCCGCGTAGATGATGCTTGTTTGTTTTTTCCCAACTATCTGGGCCTTCCACTTGCGAAATGTTTTCCGACCCCCCCCCCATCGAAGAGCAGCGGGCTCAAAGCGTCGCCTGCTTTGACGCCGCTCTGTATCTCAAGACGACCAAGCCCGCGAAGTCGCCCGCGCTGGTTTGCGTGGATGACGGGCAACATTGCGATATAACCGTCTCCCGCGCCTTGGTTCCAGGGCGGCCCACGCGTCGTTTGGGCTTGAATTCGCCCGAAGGCTTTGCTCAGGCCCAGACTTATACCCCGCGCAGGCACATTCCATTCCAAGCGCTTGCCGCGCACAGTTCCGAAGACAATGAAGGCATCACCCACCGATCGTTCACTTCGGAATCTGACTTGGTCGCTTGAGAGCTGGGCGTCCAAAGCGCCATTAAGGCGGCGGCGCAGTGATATTGCGAATAGTTCGCGCGATATGCTTAGCGTCGCGACGGGCCCCCAGTTCTGCGGGGGCTTGGGTCACCGCCCATCGGTAACATCGAAAATCTCTCTCTGTCTCTCTCTCTCTCTCTGCCTCTCTCTCCTCTTCTCTCTCTCTCTCTCTCTCTCTCCCTCCAGGTCGGGCCAACTGAGACCTCGTGCAATATCTCATTGAACGAGACACATTGCGCGCCCAGTAACTGGTCTGCAGACGCGTTGAACCTTCCCGCTGCGATCGCCAACTCATCTGAGACCCACCGAAGTTTCCTCGATTACAATGCACGTCGAAGCTCCCGCATGATAAAAAGGGCGTATCCACGTAGAGCTTCCGCCCGAGCAAAACTGTATATACGCAGATGCTGACTCAGGAAGATGCGCCCAGTCAGTCTTGAAGACCCCCCCCCCTAAAAAAAAACAGTTGGCAAGGTTATCCAGCCGCGCTTGAGCGCCAGGTCCGGCCCCAGAGCTACGCGCCGGTTATCTCCTTGCATCGCCGACTGGTTCAAGCTCGATGAACTCGCCCGGGGTAGCGCGGAAGCGTTGAACCCCTGCGGATATGCTCTCGCATTATAAAGGCAATCTCTGCGAACTACCGGGGGTCGCGCGCATGGCGCCTCGGTTGAAGGGGGCCCTGCGGTCGGTTGCCGCGCGCGCCGCCCCCGCGAGCCGCCGCCGCGCCGAATGGCATCGCTTCTGCTTCGACTGGCGATGACGGCGCATGGTGCGCGAGCTTCTCGCCCAAGGCCTCCTAGAAAAGAGCGCCGTCTTCGAAGTGGGCCCACCCTCGCATCGATGATCTTGGCCTCCTGGTTCGTCGGCGCGGGGGCCCCCCACTTGCGGGCTCCACGAACGCAGCGCGGCGATCGGGCCCCGAGTCAACGCGACGCATATTCCGACGCGCTCCGCGCCGACGCGCGCAAATGCAGAGACGTGACAATTCGCTGAAACCCCCGCGCATGTTTCAAACTATTATTAGAAGTCTTAGAAGTCCAGCTGCGCTCATCACGGCCGTTCCCATCCCCATTGACGGCCGCCAGGTTGAAAATCGGCCGCCGTCTCAGTCATCTTCCGACCGCGAAGTCCAGAGCCCCGCGGCGACTTGAAATCGCCCGCTGACCAGACAACAGCTCCACCAATAACTACTCGCGCCCATGTCTGGAGCACTTGCCCGCGCGCCTGGCCCAGGCGCTTCGGCCAGACATCCCGCGCGAAGCCGATAAACGACGCGAGGCGAAATCACCAGCTGCGCGAGCTGCACACAACGCGATGCACTCGATCAGCGACGACATGCGTCGAGCAGACGCTGCCAACCAGCCGCGCGCGCATCGGCGCGCCCGCGCCTGATGCAGAGTAATCTTGGCAACGCAGATATAGAAGTCGCCCGTCCTCCAACTCCGCTGCGCGACGTTGCGCGCGAGTTCCCCTGAACAGGATTGCGCCCCATTCTACAATCATTCACTTAGACATCAGCTCTGCAAGTCCGCGAGGACCATTGAGCCGCGCATTCTTGCGGAGCGCATGCAATATCCCTGCCCGTCAATGGGGCGAAACTTGACTCGATCGGTGCTGCCCCTATTCTGGCCCTCGGCCCGTCCTGCATTGCTCTTGCCCTTGTCCTTGCCCTTGCCTTTCTGCGGCGCGAGGCTTCACTTCGACCTCTCCTCGTCCGCCGCCGCGCCGCTGGGCGCGCGTCGGAGCGCGCCCCCAAGTCCCTCGCCTAATCCTCTGAGCCTCGCTCCTCGCCCATGAGGGGTCTCGAAGAGGCCTGGGCCCCATGTTCCGCAATCTTTACGAAAGCTACGGTTTCTGCAAGACTTTGGCATGCGCGCGCGACAAAGCGCGCGTGCACTTAGTCCCGCTTCGAAATGAGGGTTCTTGTGCATGGATGAATGTTGATAGACGGGTGCGAGCGCGCAGTGCAATTTGACGAGGACGAAGGGGGGGCGATGCCGGCCTGGCTGGGACGGCATGAATTCAGGCCTATTGTTCTCTAAAAAAAAACATATATATATATATATATATACCTGACAAGTGCACATTCTCCGGGGGAACGGACAAGCCCGCTTTGGGGGGGCGGCGAAGCCGGCCTCACTATCCGACCGGGAACCTACGCGGCGCAAATGATTTTTACAAGCGGGTTGGCAAATTCTACGCCCTTGCAAACAACCCACCCATCCACCCGCAACTTGGTTTGCAAGACCCGCGCGGGGGCGATTGCGATGAGAGCGTGGCGTTGGCAGGCGCGTCTCCGCGGCCGCGCTAGCCCGCGCATGCTCGCGCGCGGCGGCCAGCTAGTTTGGCGCGACCGACGCCGCCGCGGTGGCGCTGGGCGCCAGGCGCTTCCCAACGGGCACTCCAGCGCGAGTCGGTAACTTGAGCGGGCGCGGCACGATGGCGACATCGACGACGGTGGACGCGACGATGGAGAGTTGCGGCGACGGCGACGACGGTGGCAATGACAACGGCAAGGCCAACGACGGCGCCGAAGTTGACCGCGCCCGCCGATCACGACGACGCCGTCTGCGATGAAGATTTTTGCGGGAGTTCGACACGCGCGCGCGGCCGACGCGCGCGAGCGGCCTGCGTGGAATTATTCGACGCGGGCCGCGCCCCCCCGCCCGACCTCCCAGCGCGAGCGAAAGGGCGCTCGGATGAATTCGACGCGCGGCGCGATAAGCCTTTCTGGCAGATGATAATGAAAACGTTGGAAAACCAATGATTCACGAAAAAACGCAAGACCGCGAGCGCTTGATTACTTTGAAAACTGGCGCTGCTCAAGCATGTGGATTGATTTGTCTTCGGGTCGCTTGGTTTACGCGCATGCACAAAATCCTCACGACGCCCAATGTGCTTGAAATTTGAGCACGCGCGCGCGTGCACTTCGTTTCACTTGTTGCAAGGGGTTATTGCGTCAGCGCGCGCGCAGCTGTCTGCAAACCCTTGCTGCGAAACCGTTGTTCAATATGTTTTGTCGTGGCTCTCGATTTTGAAATCCGCGCGCCATCCAGCGAATTGTTGACGGATTCCAGCATGCGGGCGCGACGACGCGCGCGCGTGCACTTCGTCCCTTTGTTACAACGAGTACGCGCGCATTGTTTGTCTGCAGGAGATGAAGGCGGG